GTCTGTCTCTGTGTCATTAAGCACAGGTCTTGGTTCTCAGAGGTTCCCAAACCCCTGAGGATAGAAAAGTCCCCTCATGCCCTCATGTATTGGTGACCATGTCCCTTTTCTCCTTCAGAACTAAAGGTCCATCCCTGTCAGGGAGGAAGGCAGAGAAGAGTAGACCGAGTTATGACAGAATGGGTGACTTGGGCTAAGTGACACTGACTGGGTCATAGGGAAGAGTATTATGAAGAGACAGAAGGTGCCGAAGATGGAGCAAGCCCAGGAGTGTGCCCTGAGGAGCAGTGTGCCCTGAGGAGCAGTGTGTCCTGAGGAGCAGTGTGCCCTGAGGAGCAGTGTGCCCTGAGGAGCAGTGTGCCCTGAGGAGCAGTGCAGGACGCATGGGTTGAGGTGAGGCTAACCAGGCCTCGGGGCAGATGAAATAAGGCCTTGAAGGCCAGGTGGAAGAGATATAGTTGTCATCTGAGTACTGAAGAGGACCTTGGAAACTTGGGTTTTATTTGGGAGAGTGGACTCATGTCCTGTCAGTGGTACCTAGTGTCCACATGGTGCTGAGAGCCGTGGCAGAGGAAAGGCAGCCAGAGGGCGCAGGGCAGCCCCAGGCAGCCAGAGGGTGCAGGGCAGCCCCAGGCAGCCAGAGGGTGCAGGGCAGCCCCAGGCAGCCAGAGGGTGCAGGGCAGCCCCAGGAAGCCAGAGGGCGCACTTCTCGCCCGCGGGCACTGGGTTAGATGAGTCATGCTGAAGGATCAGGAAGCATTATCAGGCAACAGGAAGGTGATGGAAGGGAAGCGTTCTAGTCTGAGAAACAGCGCGGACAATATCACAGAGGTGACAGTGACTGTGGTCACAGTGTCCCTATGGCAGAAGCTTAGGGCTAAGGACTAAGATAAACACCAAGGACCAGAGCTTGCTGACGAACAACAAGCTGACACCAGGCTTCAAGGTAGACATCATCTGTCTTCCACTGATCCCTCCAAGCCTTGCTCCCAGGCCTGCAGCTCCCCTGCCTGGATGCAGCCGCAGGCCCAGCTTCCTCTGGACTTGGGCACTCAGCAGGCAGTTGAAGGGAGGAAGTATGGAGGGAGAGACATTTCCGGCTCTTGTCTGACAAGTCTCTCAAAGCTGCCTATGCCCTTGACTAGCTTGGCTTGGGAACTCCATGCCTCCATTGGTTCTTCCAGGCCTCCTGGGTGGTGACAGCGTCTGGTGACAGCGTCTGGTGACAGCGTCTGGTGACAGCACCACTCACTGTGGTTTCCAACACCTGTGGGTACCTCAAGACATCGTAGCTTTAGCACAACCTCCTCAGATTGTCCTCTGGTTCCCTCTGAGACCGAGACTAGCATGAACCCTAGCCTCGCACAATGGAAGGCCATGCAAGGATCTTGAGTAGGGACAGTGGTGTCAGAGGGAGAGGGACATGGGGACAGGCCAGAGACACCAGGTTGACTGGGCCCTTGGGGTGCAATGGCTTTATTATGGCAGAAAGAGAGAGGGGTGGGGGGGGTAGGGAGGGGGCATTCTGCCATAGGCTTTTACTTTTAAATTTTTGTAGACGGTTCACAAAGGTGGCCATGAGCACTCTCCAGCACCTTTTGCGATGTGATGGCCCTCCTCTTCACACTCAGCGGAGTTGATTTCTGATTCCTGACCTTGTGACCATTTCGATGCACGGTGTGTGATGGAATGGACATTGCATGCTGTGTAGTCTGGGACTCTCATTCCATCGGAATCCAGTCACCACCGGTGCTAAAAAGGCAGTCAGGATAAAACCGGGTCCTGTGCCCCGCTGTCACCAAGTGGACAGCCACCCCAGCCTCACATGACCACGTGTCCCACTGCGGCTGCACCAGAGCTGAAGCAACTCGGAACTGGGAGAAAAACAGGGTCTCGCTGCCTTCAGCTGGTTGGCGGCTCTAACTCAGTGGCAGATAACTGCTATGGACCCCTAGTGGACTTCTCCTTTGCTGTCTTGCCCTTTCTTTAAGGCCCTGGCCATGGCCAGTTACTTCCTCAAATCTTCTTTGGACCTGAAGACAGTATTCACTTCTCTGACTTCTCTGCCTTTTGCTCCTGGTGGGATTATTTCATTTTATTTTGAGGCAGGATCTCTCTACATAGCCCTGGATGTTCTGGAACTCACTATGTAGACCAGGCCAGCCTCGAACTCACTCACAGAGATCTCCCTTCCTCTGCTCCCCGAGTGCTAGGATTAAAGGTGTACACCACCACACACCTTGTTTGAGTCTTGTCCCACACCATCCCTTCTCAATCCCAGGTGCCTGCCCAAGGTGCTGAACACCCACGTCACGGAACTACTAATTTCGATGTGCTGTGCAGTACTCCATGGAGGGCATGGTGTGACCCCACGACTTGGGAACTGCTCACAACACTAGAGTGTTATTGCCATCCTTGTGTCGGATGCTAAAACTGAGGTTTAGAGGTAGCTGATTTGCTGAGGAGATGGGTGGGGCTGGGGCTGGGGTCCCAATGCACACTTCTCCAGTGGTTATAGAAACTGCTCCTACATGGAAGGGCTCTGCTCCCTATTACAGGGGAGGGCCAGTCGGACATTCTCTCAAACCAGCCATGCCCTGGGCTTTCCTGCGGGTGTAGGATCTCCCACCCAGGACTCCAGAATTCTCCTGGCCAGAGTGTGGCCCACCCAGGAGACACACAGCCACCCATGCATCATCATCTCTTCCTTCCAATGTGCTGGTCTGCCCACGGGCATGTTCCTTCCTCCTTCTTTCCAAGGTGGAAAACTCGGGGTGACCAGTCAGGGAAGGGGAGACTGACATGGTCTTCTACAATGTAGTTGACTCAGCTTCTGAGGAGAGGTTGGGGCCAAGGACAAGGCTGAGCTTAAGCTGAGGCTCATCAGCCCCATTGGTTGGGAGAAAGAGAAGAGAAGAGAGATAAAACAGAACCGTTTCATTTATTGAGGTAACATGTATGGAGCTGCCCTTTTGTGCCAAGACAGGGGCTGGAGTTCGTTATAAAGCATGAGTAAGAGGCTCCCTAATGGAGCCCATGTGATGTGAGCACCGAGGCTCCCAGGCTGTCAAGGCTGGGGAAACTGAGACTCAGAAGGATGGCAAGGAGACCTACCCTCAGTGATAGTCAGGTAGCTAAGGAGGACTGAGCTCTGCCTTCCTTAACTCCCTTCTGGGCTCCTTTGGTATTGATGTCATAGCTCAGAGGACCCAGGATCTAGAAGGAACATAGTATGGGTGCCAGGGCATAGTTAGCTACACTTCCTCTCCAGCTCAGAGGGGAAGAAGGGACATCAGGGAGCAGGATGAGGGACATGCACAGGGGAGGCCTGGAGTGCTGGCTTCTTTCACGTTGTCACTCGAGGGTAAAGGAAGAAGAATTGTGTTCTGCTTTTCCCTGGCTGTCCTTTGGTCATTTTTGAGTGACATTAGAACTGTGGGTGGAGACCTCAGAAATGATTCTCTACTTGCTTTTCTTCCCCAACCTACAGAGGGGCAGACAGGCCAAGGACAGGGAGACCGCAGAGCTTTGGCTGCAGCTGCAAGGCCCAGGGCTAGGAGCCGCCTCCTCTTCCATCTTGCCAGCCGGAGCTGAGTTCCTAGGAGTCCAGGGTGGCTGTGGAAGTCCCCTCTCACCACAGCCCCTCCAGTGCACTGGACGCTGCTTTGTGGAAGTCCCCTCTAATCACAGCACTCCTGCAGGCTCTCGGATGCAGCTGTCCTCTGGCCGGAGTCGCTTAGCAGAACTCCAAGTGCTGGTCAGCGGGGACATTGAACTTGAGTTTGTGTTCCTCAAAGAGCTTGCAGAGCTCCTTGATGTAGAGCTGGTGAAGCTGGTCCACCTCCTCCTCTGAGGGCTGTGGTGTCATCTGCACCTGGATGGGCTTCCCCACTGCAAGGGACAGAGGAGGACAGTGGTCTAGAGTGAGTCCCAGGAAGCCTGGGAGCAGGGACCACCCCTACAGTCACCCCACAAGGTGTCCCACCACCACCCCCTGCTCTCCTGATTTCAGACACTCTGGGCTCTCTTTCTATCTCCCCGTCTCCCTCGTCTCCCTCACCTCATGTATGTGGATAAGTGTATGTTCACGAGCAGGTATATGCATGTGGAGGCTGGAGGTTAATCTCTGGTACTGTCCCTCAGATGCCATCAACCATGTTTATGGACACACAAGTCTTTCATTGGCCTGGAACTAACTGATTGGGCTAGGGTGGCCATCTAGTGAACCCCAGGGGTCCTTCTGTCTCTGCTTCCTGAGTGCTGGGATTAAAACCATGTGCCACCACACCCAGATTTTTTCATAGGTACTGGGGTTTCAAACTCAGTTCCTCTTACTTGCACTTTACCACTGAGCTGTCTCCCCCTCCCCCACCCCCCCAGGCACTGAGTTCTAAGGTTTTAGGACGACTCACTCCAGACTCTCAGTATACTAACAGCCAGCTTTCGGTATGCTGGGCAATGTGCATGCACTTTATATGCATTCTCTCCCTTAGTCCCAGGCAAATAAAACCTGTCATTATTCCTACTGGATACAATGAGGCTCAGAGAAGTTACGTCATTTATCCAAGTAACCAGATGGAAGCAGTACTAGATTTTAAACGCTAGGGGTGCACACATGTGATTCTGAGGGCTCAACGTGTCAGAACTGGAGGTGCCTGCACTTCTAGAACTGGGGTGGGGGTGTCACAGCCCAGGTAGCCCTTCTCTCTTCTCTGCCATGTACACTGATATGTAATGCTCCATGGTCAGAGGGAAGAACCAGGAAGACTCTTCTAAAACTTCTGAATCTGTGTGGCTGTGCAAGCAGTGCCCTCTCCTCTTGGAAATCTCTCTGGAGGCAGCAGCAACAGCAACAATGTTCAAATACATGAGGACTGATATCACCATATGAACCAGTAAGGCCATTATGCAAGGATTACCAAATCTGTGCTCAACTATGGGTGGGTGGATGGATGGATGGATAGATGGATGGGTGGGTGGATAGATAGATGGATGGGTGAGTATATAGATGAATGGGTGGGCAGATAGATGGGTGGATGGATAGATGAATGGATGGGTGGGTGGATAGATGGGTGGATGGATAGGTGGATGAGTGAGTGGGTGGATAGATGGATGGGATGGATGGGTGGGTGGATAGATGGGTGGGATGGATGGGTGGGTAGATAGATGGATGGGTGGGTGGGTAGATGGATGGGATGGATGGGTGGGTGGATAGATGGATGGGTAGGTGAATAGAATGATGGGTGGGTGAATAGATGGATGGGTGGGTAAATAGACGGATGGGTGGGTGGATAGATGAATGGGTGGGTGGATGGATGGATGGGTGGGTGGGTGGATAGGTGGATGAGTGGGTGAGTAGATAGATGGATGGGTGGGTGGATAGATGGATGGTGGGTAGATAAATGGATTGGATAGAAGGCTGGTAGATAGATGGATGGGTGGGTGAACAGGTAGATGGGTGGGTGGATAGATGGATGGGTAGAGTTGAAATGAACAGAGTCCTCTCTACAAATGTCAAATAGGAATCAAGAAGAAAACACAAGAGAAGTCCAAATAGCTGAAAAGTTGTGCTAAGTCTCTACACCCAAGCTCAGGTTCATTTCTTACAGGAAGAGCCCCCAGAGTCTAATGTAGAGTCTATTGATTATTGGTTGGCACACAGATTTTTAAAACGTTCTTTTTTGTACACGTATGTGTTTGTGTGCATGTGTGAGCATATGGGAAGCCTAGGGTCAATGCTGAACATTTTCTTCAATCGTGCTTCATCCTGTTTTTTTGGGCCAGGTTTTTTCCTTAACCTGGAGCTTGCCAACTGGTAGACTGCCAGCCACCAGACCTAGACAGAGGTCCTCCTATTTCGGTCCCCCTCAGTCCTGGGATTACAGTGCATACCACCCAGCCTGTGCCTGGCTTCTATATGGGTACTGGAGGTCAAACTCACATCTTGACGCTTGCTCAGCAAGTCCTTTATCAGCTGAGCCATCTCCCCATCCCTGCACAGAATTTTAACATCTCTGCTCTCTGCTTTCTTTTCACAGGCCTCACTCTACCATCTGGATCACAATTAACCCCTCCTTCTCTGGCCTAACGAAGGTCAGACAGACTCTGGTTACAGCCTCAGCTCTGTCCCTCAAAGGCAATGTGAGCTTTGGGAATTTATTTAACTCCTTTGGGCCTCACTTTATATCAGTGAAATGGAGATAATAGTCCCTACCTCAAAGGTTGCTAGGAAAAACCAAGCTTGAAAATGTCAAATGACAAGTGTAATGTCTGACACACAGCAGGTCCCCTGCTGTCCCTTCTTGAGAATGAGTACTCAGCCATCAGTACCTTTATGTCTGTTACAGCTCTTATCCCAGACTTCCCTCTGGTAGGGTTATCTATGTGTGGGTGTGCATTCCTGTCTAGAATGTGAGTCCCATGAGGATGAGGGCGTATCTTTCCCACCCTCAAGCTCCCTGCAGCATCTAGCCCAGGCCCTGTTCCTGCAGCCTGCCCTGGCCAGGCTGGATCTCAGCTCACCTACGGTGGTGATGGGCTGGCGGAAGGGCATGAGCCCGAAGCTGTACTGGAAGATACCGCGGCCATGGAAGAGAGGGAGGGAGATGCCCATGATCTTCTGCAGTCGGTTCTGGACACAGCGCAGCCAGGTGCCATATGTGTTCTCAACTTGGTTAAACAGGTTGTTCTCCCCGAAGGAGAAAATTGGCACGAGGGCTGCCCTAGAGGACACAGGGGAGTATGGGAGAATCCAGAAAGGCACAGATGCAAAGGTCACCCAGCCAGGAACTGGAGCAGATCCGCCTTGAGCCCTCTCTGACCTCCAGAGAGCCTTTTCAGGCCCCCAGTCTCTCATGTGGCTACCATGAAGGGTAGATCAGAAGGTTCTAGAGCCTCCTCCTCAGGGGAAAACATTTTTACTTTTCACCTAGAAAAATCTCCTCCTTGTGCCAGCTGGCTGCTCAGCTTCCTCAATGATGCCTCTCCCAGCCCTACCCTCCCAGATTCCCAAAGGTCCCAGGGCACACACCAGCAGCAGGAAACATGTCCCTTCTCACCACTGATTCCCCCAGTCTCCTTTATGGAAATGTATCTAGAAACTCGGCTGTGAGGCACCAACTTAACAATTTTCGTCATATGGCCTGAGAATCTCCTTGCCAAAATAGAAGCTATGATCATCTTTGCTGTCTCCCCAACCCAGAGTGTTGTCCCCAGAATTCCGTACCCATACATCAGGGCAAGCCTGACGAAGCCCTTGCGATTCTTCAGCAGCAGCTTGTAGGCTCCGGGCCTGGCATCCAGTGCCTCCTGGGAGCCCCCGACGATGATGGCCAGCAAGTTCCCACCGCCCTTCCTGTTCAGGATGTGACCAGCACTCTCCTTTTCTGATGTGACCAGCCCTAGGGAGAGAGCAAGGTGGGTCAGACACCAGGGGAAGGGGCAGGACTGTGAAGATGAGAACAGCCCAAGAGAGAAACCATCAACAATGCTCACAGAGCCAGGATTCCCCCCACGACACCCCCACCAGCTGGGGATCTCTGAACCCTCTTCCTCCTCCCACCCCGGCATGGGCTTTCCCAGCACAGCGATGCAGGAAGTTCTTCTTTGGGTTTAGCCTCTGCTATTGCTGAACCAGCACTTGGAAGGAACACAGAACTACGGACAGCCTGTTCCCAGATGCCTCTGCCTACCCAGCAGCCTCATCTTCCTGAGCTACTTGGGGCCGGGGTGAGGAGACTCACCCCCGCTCATGATGTAATCCCGGAAGAAGGGGGCCCGGAACCACAGAGTCAGCATCATCAGGTAAGGGCGGATTCCTGGGAAGAGTGAGGTAAAGCCCGTGCTTTCAGTACACAGGTTGAGAAAGGCCCCTGCGGCCAGGACTCCATGGGGGTGGAAGCCTGCGATGTAGTTCTGGGAAGGGTCCAGCTCAGCCGTCTTGACCAACTGCAAGAGACAGCAAGCTGGTGATGAGCAGCAGGGTCTGTATGCCAGTCCTGGCTCTTCTACTGCTCTGTGTTACTCTGGGACTCAGAGTCTCAGGTTCATCATAAGCCTGAGCTTCCTGGATGCTTCTGCAGAGAGAGGTGTTGTGTGGGACAGTGGATGATACATCGGTGCCGAAGGTTTCACAGACCAGATGCTGGCTTTGGGCAAATTGTTCACCCAGGCCTATGTGAAGTTGGAATATTTGACCCTGTCTCAGGAAGACCCTGTCCCTTCTGCTGAGAGGTTCAAGTGAAAAGGGACCGGAATTCCTAACTACTGGGTGGGATGCTGTGATGGTTTGAATGGGATTGGATCCTATAGGCTCATATATTTGAATGCGTGGTCCCTAGTTGGTGGAACTGTTTTGGAAAGGACTAGGAGGTGTGGCTTTGTTGGAGGAGGTGTGTCATTGGGAGTGGGCTTTGAGATTTCAAAAGCCAATAACGGGCCCGGTCTGGCTTTCTCTCTGCCCCCAACTTGAGGATAAGCTCCCTGCTATTACTCCAGCGCCATGCCTGCCTGCATGCCACTATACCTCCTGCCGTGACGACCGTGGACTGACCTCTGAAACTGTGGGCAAGCCCCTGGTTAAGTGTTTCCTTTTATCGGTTGTCTGGGTCACGGTGTCTCTTCGTAGCGATAGGAAAGTACACAAGTGAAGGACGTGAGGGCCACAAGGGGGCCTCACTGTGCTGGAATCACTCCATCTCAACCTCACTCAAAAGACAAGTTGGCCCATCCACCCGAGGAGTGAGTGATTACAAGCTAGACCAGGAACAGATTTTGATCTTGTTGACAGCCCTCGGGGGCCTGAGACCGGCTCTGGTCCTGTGGAACTGGTGGGTCATGGGAGTGTTTCTGCTGTCCCCAGGCCAAACCTAACTCCAACTTTACTAACTCTCTGTGCCATGCCAGGGCCAGGGCAGAAACTTACCCTGACTGGTCAGGCCTGAAGCATCAAGGGCCCAGAGTTACCACCGGAAACGGAGTGAGAGCCACATGCCATCCCACAGTTCTCGGTGAAGTGGGGTGAGGAACGGGTATGGCGGGGGCTGAGGAGATGGCCCACTGTGTAAAAGCATTCGCTGTGTAAGCGCAAGGGCTTGAGTCTGGATTCCCAGAACCCATGTCAAAGTCAGATACACGGCATGGATGGCCATCATCCACAGTGAGGTGGGGGCAGAAACGGGAGACTCTCTAGAAGCCGGAGGACTAGCTAACCTGGCCTGAACAGGAAGGAAACAGCAGAGACCCTGTCACAAATTAGATGGAAGGCAAGAACCAGCTCCTTCAGTTGTTCTCTGACCTCCACTAGTGGGCCATCACACACACACACACACACACACACACACACACACACACACACACACACAGACACACTGATCTGCCTGGGTGGTAGCCAAGTCCAAAGATCATTGCTGGAGGCTGTGTTCTAGGTGGCACCAATCCCTTCCCACTGCCAGGAACCTGCTCTCCGGGTCTCAGTGCCCTGTGCTCTGGGAGCCACAGCTATGGGAGCTGAGAACAGCCCATATCTCCTGGCACACCTGGGCAGGAGGCGTCCTGGTAAGACAGGTGGCAGGGACTTTGCACCCCCTGGGAGAAGGGCAGCCCTTTCCACCGGCTAAGCTTTGCCAGGTGAACCGTCACCCTGCCAGCAAGCTGAAACTCACGGTAGCTGTCTCCCTGGGCATGCTTCTTGCTGTCTCTGAGGCCACCGAAGCAGCCGGCCTCAACATCCTGACAGTAGAGATGAGGTCCTAAGCCTGTCCCCATGCGGACTACAGAGCTTCCAATCCTCCTGTCCTCAATCTTGAGTTGACCTCTGACCTCTTACCACACGGAGTCCACCAAACCCCTCCAGAGCACGGCAAGCCCCTCCCTGCAAGGCCTGCAGGAGCCACAGGCAGGGGGGCTGTTGCCTGCCCAGACAAGGCCTAGCCCCTTCCCCTAGTACAGAGGGGACCTAGGAGATGATGGAAACCCCAGCAAGGTCAGGGCTCTGGCTTACGCAGGATCCTGCCAATGCTGCTCATTCCTTGCTCCACACGTGGGAACGCTTGCTATTTACATTCTGCACCTCTGTGGAAACAACTGGACATTTGTGAAAAAGCAAAACAAAAGAGAACAGATCTCTCATCCCAGGAACCCCACTGCCAAGGAATGATTTAGCCTACAGGATTGTTTGCATTCTGGTCAAATGCCATCCGAGCCATGCCATTCACGGAAGCATCAGTTTTTGCTAACATCAGGAACTTGTCCACCAACAGGGCTTGTCTGGGCAAACTGGGAATGAGGCAGATGAGGGAGGACTCCGGCCACAGAGGAGTGTGAAGCAAGCCAGGATGGCATGTTACGTGAACAGCAAGAAGCAGGGCAAAGTGTGCAGGACATGGCAAGGGGAGAGGAGGGGACACCACGGCTAATGGCTACACCAAACACTCATGGTCCGAGCTGCTCCCAGGGATGGGATCTGGGGTGATTGGTATGCCTAGAATGGGGGAGTAGGGACTCTGTGTGTGTGTGTGTGTGTGTGTGTGTGCGCGCGCGCGCGCGCGTGTAGGTCAGAGGACAACCTCAGGTATCACTTACGTCCTTTGAGACAAGGGTCTCTCATTTGGCCCAGCATTCACAAGTGAGGCTACACTATCTGGCCAGCGAACCCCGGGGGTCCTCTGTTTCCACCCCAGCGACAGGACTGAAGTGAGCATTACAACCTGGCGTTTTTACACTAGTACTGGGCATCAAATCCGAGTCCCTGGGCTTGTGAGGCAAGCGCTTTACTGCCTGAGCCATTCTCCAGTCCTAAAACGAAGTCTCTCATACCTGCTTTTTTTGTTCTCTGGAATATTGAACAAGAACACATCACTGGTTTAAATAAACAAGTGAACAAACGAATAGTTGCACCCTTGATAACAAAGCATCTGTGTACAGAGAAATATCCTGGTGAGGATGGGGACCAAGTGAGCTGGCATTTGCATACGTATTTACATGCACACATGCAAGTGTGTGCACTGGAGGGTGATTGTGGTCCCTCTGAGGCCCAGTTTGAGCTTTCCCAGAGGCGATGTCTACTGTGCTAACTGTCCCGCTGCTCCCTGTTTCCCTGTGGAGCTCAGAGGTTGTGTGGCCACACATGGTGGGAGAGAGGAGATGCTCTGGGAAGAGCAGACCGAGGGAGAGAAGGAAGGAAGCCGGTGGGAGAGGCAGCTCCTCAGAAGGAAGGCACCTCGACCCAATCCTGTCCTCACCTGGATTCCACCGCAGGAGAGGGAGCCCTAAGCTAGGAGTCCAGGAGCTCATCTCAGGGCTGTGCCTGGCTCCCGGCTCCTTGGTGCCGCCTCGGTTGCATTTGCTAACAGGGCAGCGGTGACGTGTCCCTGCCAGGCTTGTTGCAGGTTCCCAGGAGGCCGAGGAAGAAGAGGGGAGTTGGTGAAGTACACGGGTCCCTCTGCAGTTCCCTCACTTCGGCTAGAAGAGGGGAGGGTGGCCAAGCAAGGTGGTGGGTGGAGAAGTCCTGGCTGGGCCTGGCACTGGGCAGTGGGGCAAGAGAAGGGAGCAGCCGGACTGCTGGACTCTGGGACCCCTCGTTTTTGTTGGTGTCATCTGTATACCGTAAGATCCAGGCTTGAACATGTGTGGTCG